AGGAAGAAGGGTGGGTGGTCTGCCGGGCATTTAGAAAGCCAAGTCCTAATCAAAGGCAAGGCTTTGAAGCATGGAACCATGCTTACTATATCAGAGATAACAGCCATGTTAGGGCTCCGATGTCAATTTCAGATATAGGAAGTACATTTCATCATCTTCATCCTAATCAGGGATCAAGTTTTCATGATCAATCCTATGGTTCGGAGCAAGAGCTTGTGTCCAACCACAATGTCTTGGACAGCCAACAAGTCATTGAACTCCCACAACTGGATAGCCCCACTACTGTTTCACCAAGTTTAGCAGCAAAAGAAGGTTTCCAGCGGAATTTCGTAACAAATTACGAGGATTGTGAAGAAGAAAAGAGCAATAACAGTAGCCAATACATTGACTGGAAGAACTTGGACAATTTTCTTGCCTCACAGCTGACTGATACAACATCTTATCCCTATCAAACTGCCCCACTAATACCCCAAAACTACGAGGTAGAAGCTCAAGAACACCTGCTTGGCTGCTTCCCTGGATCATAGCGGAAGGCCCAAGTTTCACAATTTATTTATCCAAGATGCTGATTCAACAAAGCTAAAAGCTCCTGTCTCATATAGGAACTAAGTTTGAAAAGTCCTTCAGATTTACATAATATTTGCATGCTAAAAAAGTAGAGTACTTGTCGTAGAGAAAGAATGGAGTTCTTATGATAAAAGGAGACTTTCCTGCAAGCTTTAGAGGGTGTGTAGAAAGTTTCACTTTACCTTCTTTTTTCTTTTTTTTTTTTATCTTTTCCCATTTGTTATGCTTACAAAATTGTATATTGCGCAATAGTGCATATATATAAATGACTTTGTAATAATGTTAATCTTTTCTTATGAATTTTGGCATTTTTTTTTCTATGCAAGTTATAATAATAAGGTCTCTTGATGTGTATATAAGTGCATGTGACTTTTCACTTTGGTACAATTTATGTAACCTAAAATTTTTTTGGTTCTTTATGAAAGGTTATTGAGTCTTAATTAGTTATACATAAAATTTATCTGTATTAATTCTCAAGTCAGCTGCAATCTTAATTACTTTTCGTCTGTTTGTATATATACGTATGTATATATGTATAATGTATAATTGTATAACTTAGTATTACTGTTCCATGATGGTTAAGATTTTAAGTCTTGTTAAGCTTGGGAACACCTTCACCATGCTATTAGTCTTGCTCATTCCCTCTTTTGCTAGCTTATCAGCCTCTTGATTCCCCTCCTTCAATATGCAAGATCCACTTTCTCATTCTCTAAGGTGAAGTGTATAATCTTTGTACCCATTTGACAGCATTGATCGAGTCGCTTTCAATGATTAATGCATGAGTGTTTAATCATTTTGAAGTGACATAAATTAGTAAAGCTTTTTTAGTCGTCAATAACTTTCTTAGATTTGAATCACCAATGTCTATAGATTTTGAAAAAATAGTTAAGAGTTTCTTTGTTGGAATCCTTGAAAATTCCACCTATATCGATTTTTTCTTGAACTTTTCACATGCAGCGCCATCAACATTAAACTTTAATTTTTCATATGTTGGTTTGATCCAATTGGTATTTTGTTATATATTTTGTTTCCATTGTCACATTTTATCCTCCAAACTTCCAAAATTGTAGATTTTTTTTGCATTTTTTTGTGTCAAGTGCAAAAACTCCATGAAAAGCCACCTTAAGAATAATTTTTTTCAACCATTACTCATCCCAAAAATTTAAATTTTTTCTATTTCCACCAATCACACCAAAATTTGATGAAACTTGCATGAAAAATTTATTAGTGGGGAAGAGGAGGGATAAAATATTCTCCACAAAGTGGAGCATGGTCGATTTGTATGAGCACTTGAGTCACTACCATTTTCTTTCAATTGAACTCTTCTCCAAAAACTCGATCGCTCTCTACCAAATCTCCATATCCATTTATTAAAAAGAGTTCAACTTTTAACTTCAATATCCGTAATATAAATTGCACCGTGATCTTTATAGTTACATATTTTGCTCCATTCCTTCTCATAATAAAAACCTTCTTTGCATTTTACCAAGCTTGTGTTTCACTCTTGTTGGGATTTTAAAATTTGACATAAAAAATATCGAAAGATAACATTTTTCTTTCCAACCTACGAACTTAGCTTCAAATCGTTTAAGCACTAGTTTTCAATTTTTCATAGAACCCTAAGGGGCACCAGAAGGAATGCCTTTATATAAATAACTTTATATTAATTAGAAATTCCTTTGTTTACTATGAAAAAAAGTTAACTTTATTTTTTTATTTATTTAAAACAAATATTTAGAAATATAAAAAGTATTTTTGTATAATAAAATGAGGACATTTTGGAAACAAAAAAAAAATTCTCCTGAAAAGGAGGCATGTTTTTTTTTTTTTAAAAAAAAAAAGAAGCGCTAAAGCTTTTTTTTTAATTTTATTTGTTAAAAAAGTTTCTTTTTTTTCAAGAGTTTCTCAAAATCTTTATTTAGTTTGACTTCTATTTTTAAAATATAGATAAGCTAAAAAAAAAACCAACCAAACGGTTAATCTCGAAATTACTTGAAAAATTCTCAAAATTCTTCAAACATTTTGCAAATGTTCAATCTATGATTAACAAACACCATTGTATCATCTGCATATTGCAAGTGGTTGTAAGTTGGATACTGATAACCCATTCCTTTCAATTTGAGCGCCTATACCCAAATTAACCTTCACGGCTTTAGACATCAAACAATTAAACACTTTCGCCACAACGTTGAACAAGAATTGCGACAATGGATAACCTTGACGTAAACCTTTTTGCATCTTGAATTGTGCCATGAGGGACCATTCACAAGAACTAAAACCAAGGCAGTAAAAATACATTCTTTCACCCATCCACTCCATTTGTCACTAAACCTCATTCTAGCCATCACAAAGTCCAAGAAGTTCCAACTTACATTGTTATATGCCTTTTCAAAATCGACTTCAAATATCAACCTTCCTTTTCTCTCCTTCTTAAGATGTATAATCTCGATCTATAATCTCATTAGCTATAATTCATATTAAATCCATTAATCTCTGATAAACATGAATTGATTGGTGCAAATCAGTTCTTTGATGATTTGTCTCAATTGATTAGCTAAAAGCTTAGTCATAATTTTGTAGATACTACCTATCAAACTAATCAATCTGTAATCACCAAAATCAACCAAATTTGCAATTTTTGAAATTAAGGCAAAAAGAGTTGCAAAGAATTATAGGCTCTGTTTGATAAAGATTAGAACTTTTTCATCATTATTCTTTATTTGGTAACCTAAAAATATTTACAAGAAGTAAAATATTTTTAGGTCAATGGAAAAATTCATGTTGACTTGAGGAAAATGTTTTACGCATTTACCAATCCTTTTCCTATTGCATTCTTTTCTTTTTGAGATCGATCCTATAAACCTTAGGTTCGATCTCACTAAACATCATTACCTTCCCCTTCTCGTGATATCGATTCCTTAAACCTTAAGATCAATCCCACAAAATGATCCCACAAAGCATAATTATTTTATATAATTATTTCACAACAAAGTGTTATTCAACTATTTTTCTTTTTCTTTTCATCTCTTTATTCATTATTCTTTGCCCAACAAAGCATCATTCACTATTTTTATTCAACTATTTTATAGGAATTATATCATCTATAATTATTTTTTATTAAGATGCTATATAATCTTTAACATAATACAAAATAATTAAGATCAGGTAAAGAAAAAAATCTTCTATAAAATAAGAAATAAAATTTTCACCTATAATAATCTCTCATTTATTTTAATTTTCAATTTATGATTTATTCACTTACAAACTAAATAGTACAACAATAAGATCAGAAATAAATAAATAAATAAAGAGAGTTAAATAATATTTACATAATATATCTTAATATTGAAAAAAATATATTTAGGATGTCTTGTATAATTGAGGAATGTTGATATTTTTATGATATTATTATAGAAAATTATTGAAGATGGAAAAAAATTTTGAAGATGGGTCATGATGTAAAATATTTTCTAAAAATGATCCAAACAATAAAAAAATTATTGATAGGTTATCCAAATAACAAAAATATTTTCCATAAAAAACTTTTAGGCATAATACTTTAAAAAATATTTAAACTATTTTAAAAAATTCAAATTAACCATTAATATTTTAGCACGTTCAATTAAATTGTTATAATTTTATTTTAAATCAAATAAGGTCTTATAATTTACAGTTGACTAATTATTATTAATCAATAATTATTACTTGTCATTTTATACCATGTGACGCTAATTTAGTAAGAGGACATGTCATAATAGATAATGATATAACTATGTGATATATTTACTCTCCACGTCAATATCACCTCTGTATCACATAAGTGTAAAATAACAAATGATAATTTAATTAATAATATTTAATTACTTATCGTATATTTGATTCAAAATAAAAATATAGATATTGATTAAATATGATTAAAAATAAAAAAATTATTTAAAATTTTTTTAAATAGTGTAAAGGGTTTTATTATATTAATTTTTTTTATTTATATATATTTTTTATAATTGTGAAAAAAATATTTAAAATTTATTTTTTAAAATAAAAATATTATATATTAATCAATAAATTAAATACTCGAATGTAATTAAATTATTTTTATGTTACGAAAATGAACCATATATAATTAAAAAGTTAAATTCTCACTAAAAAAACATAACTAAAAATAAGTAAATTCCCCCTCAAACGGGACAGCTGAAATTTATATACAAATAAAAGCACCTGCTACCTACTCCATTTTGCCACATCTAACCCAAAAAGGAAGGAAAGAAATGGAAATGAAAACCCAAAAAGACAAATAAAAAAAAATCTAAAATTGAAACATTTCCAGCTCTCTGTTCTCTTCCTCTTCATTAAAAGATCGAAACGCATTGCTTTAACACATTCAATTTCAATTTCTTCAGAATTAGGGTTCTTAAACCCCCCCTTTTCAAAGCTTTCAATCCCTCATAAAATGGCATTACGATGATTCTTTAATTGATTCAACAAATTTTCCTTACAAATTTTTATTTTTATTTTTTTTGGGGGGTGGGATCCCAAGAAGTTCCCAACAGCTTTGTCTGTCCTCTTGCCGTTTTGTCCGTGTCGGTGTTGTGAAAATGGTGGCGCCGAGGAATGTGTTGAAGGACGAAGAGAGTGCTGCTGTGGCGTTGTTGAACAACGGCAGCAAGGAAGACGACGATTCCCCGACTGGGAAAAGGTTAAAATCGGAAAGGTTTCCGGTTTCGAGATGGGAATTGGCTGCCTTTTTTGGGGTTTTCTTGATCTTTTCTACCGGTTTGTTCTGCATCTACCTTACCATGCCCGCCACCGAGTACGGGAAACTCAAGATCCCACGTTCCATCTCTGACCTCCGCTTGCTCAAGTAGGTTCTTTCCTTTTGTTTTGTTTTTTTTTTTCTTTATTAAATTCTTTTGGTGAATGTTTGATGCTTGGAGTTTTGAGATAAGCTTATATTTGTGTTTAGTCTTTCTGGGTTTGACGAATATTGTAGATTTTCGAAATGCCCATCTCGGATTTCTTTTTCTTTTTCCTTTCTTTTTTTTTTTTTTGAGATTTTAGAGCTACAAAGCTCTATTTGGATTTTTTTTTTTTTTAGCTACAAATCGAGTCGTGCGAAAGTGAAACAGTCCTCCGTTTGTGTTAGATTCGAGAATTTTAGATACTAAAATAGTGAAGATAGCTATAAAGATGAAGTTAAATTCTGTTATTTTTACTTATATCTAATTTGGATAAGTTCTGGGCAAAACAAACATTAATGCATAACAGCCAAGGGAAAATGAAAATGCTCTGCCGAGAATGATGCTCTGAGGTAGTAAATGGTTGCATATGCTTTACAGTGATACTTACGCTGTCGCATATACATGAATACTGAATGACTGAGGACTTGAAATGCAATCTATGGTTAATCATAATTTAACTACCTTCTAGTGCTTATCATTGCACTTTGTGTGTGAGAGCCTTTAGCCCATTAGTGGATGGTGTGAGGAAATACTATACTGCAAATGAAAGGGAGCATATTGGATGCATGCCGAGTATATAAATGGAACAAATGCTGTAAAGTACTAGATAATTCTCATATAGAAACCTTATATAGCAAGTGGTCATTTTTGAGAGAATCACCTAATTAGAGGACAATTTCTTTTATTTATTTTACTTTATTTTATTGTAAAATTATGGTGGCATGATTTCATTTGGTTGTTTTGGTTGTATCTGAGTTCTGATTTGATGTTTTCTTATGGAATTAATTCCACCATTGAGTTTCATTGGTTTCTCCATCCATATATATGCTATGATTGCTGCCCAACTTACCATTCTTAATTTATTGCTGTTATTTGTTTCAATTTACTTATTTATTTGTTTCATTTTGTTGCTAGGCATTTCTGCTTTCCTGTCAGTACTTCTTTTTCTGTGTTCATATTTTAACCGCAACTCATTTTACTAATTAATGTGCCTTTATTTTTGTTCAGAGATAATATTGCAACATATGCAAAGGATTACCCAACACAATTCATTTTGGGTTACTGCTCAACTTATATCTTCATGCAAACCTTTATGATTCCTGGAACAATTTTCATGTCTTTGCTAGCTGGAGCTCTCTTTGGCGTTAGGGGCCTTTTCTTGGTCGTCTTTAATGCCACAGCTGGAGCATGCTCCTGCTTTTTTCTGTCTAAGCTGATTGGCAGGCCCTTGGTTAGTTGGTTGTGGCCTGATAAATTAAGATTTTTTCAAGCAGAGGTACTTTCTTTTTTTCCTTGTTACTATCTTTGGAATTTGTGGTGTTTGTTGTCTTTTATTTTAGAATCTTTCATTTGTCTTGTACTACCATCCTTTTTGTACTGAATTAATCTGCATTCTTGTGGAATCAGATTGCAAAACGCAGGGACAAGTTGCTCAATTACATGCTCTTTCTGAGAATTACTCCTACTTTGCCCAACCTATTTATCAATTTGGCTTCACCAATAGTTGACATACCGTTTCACGTGTTCTTCTTGGCAACTTTTATTGGCCTAATCCCAGCCTCCTATATAACTGTCAAAGTAAGTTTCCTGCACCTGTGCCACAATTATTTTCTCTGCTGGTTTATGCCTTGATTTTTTTTTTTTTACTATTCTTTTTCTTCTATTAACAAAATTATCATCTTGATGAACATGGTCATCTGAATTGATTTGTTGAAAGAAAGCAGATACTCATAGCTTATCCAATCCATTGCAACAGCTAATACTATATAGTATGGTTGTTATGGCATGATAGTTTTACGTTGATAAATTTAAAAGCCTTTTGATACTAAGGTGTAAATGGTGTAGATTGTCAGCATGTTAGTTATAACAGTTCTTAATGAGGAGATTGAACAATAAATTTATGAATGGTGCTTGTGTTTCCTCACAAAATATTGCCAAAAATGAAAGAATTCAGGGCATTCTAACTATATAAACTCTGTTGTGAAGGCTCAGATGAATGAGAATACCATTCTGAGCTTTGCTTTACCTTAGCTAGCTCCATATAGGAGGATTTCTTGAAAGTATTAAAATAATTGATGTGAATTCTTAACAACATGGAGTGAGAAAAGTTTCTACAAGATTGATATAGCATATGACGTGAGGCTATAGTCTGTCTAAGTGGGGTCCTTGAGCCAGATGCTTGGAGTCATTGAACTGTAGGGACTATTTTGGGTATATTTTAGTTGAACAGTTTTCCAAGTGGTGTGTCAAAAGGACTATAATTTTCTTTATAAATTGGAATATGTATGATGTGTTGTGGGATTGAAGTAGATGCTTCTTATATTGAGCACTGATTAGAGTTGTGGTAGGTTTCTTACTGTAACATATATCATTGAAGATTCATCGATGCCTTGTCATAATGAAAGTAAAGCTATTTCAGATAGAGGTTCAATAGGTAGTTCATTGTGATATATTTACTTGTCTCCATTATAGTCGGTTGTGGACTGTAACTGAATTAGGCATTTTCAAATTGAAAGAAATGTAGAACATAGAGTTTGTGGTAAGATTCAATTTGATGCAATTTATTGGAGTCATATGTAAGATGTGGAACGATGATAGAGAAAGATCGAATCATGTCCTCAGATAGTTTATCTTTCAGATTTTTCTAGGAGGATGTTAAGAAGAGATCTACAATGCTTTTGGAGAACTGATTTTAGATCTTTTTCTATGTTTGAATGGATACACTTAAGATTTCGCTTTGATGCTTAAACAAAGAGCAAGTAGATGCTAAGCTTAATGGACTTTGGATGTGATGTCCCCCAGTGTCCACTGAAGAAGGGATCTTCTTGAGATTGTCCCTACGGGGCCAATAGCACATAAATATAATTCCACTTCAGTGAGGTGCTAGAAGAATTGAACAGGATTTATCAAATCATTACAATAGAAGGATCAATGAACATTTTGTTGATCATTTGATGGCCCCTTCAGTTACTTCTGTTCACTCTATGGCTTCTCTTTTTCTTTTTATGAGGTATTTGTTGATGATGTTGAATGCATGTTGGCTTAATTTTATTCTTTTGGTTCATGACTCTTCTTATTTCTTCATTCAGGCTGGCCTTGCTCTTGGGGATCTCAGGTCTGTAAAGGATCTCTATGATTTTAAGACATTGTCTGTGCTTTTCCTTATCGGATCAGTCTCCATATTTCCAACCCTTCTGAAGAGAAAGAGAATATATGAATAAGGTTATGTCGGTGAAGTTTGTGGCATCCTCCCGACAATGAGGATTAAGAATAGATATATTGACAATTTCAATATTTAGGATCCAAGAAAGAATAGAGCCATAAATCCTTATCTCTGCATCTGAATATTGAAGATCTAGCACTCATCTTGTGGTACATGGGGGGCCTGTGCTGACACAAATGATGAAAACACAAGAAATTCCTCTTGGCAATTTTCTGTTTAATGTAAGCTAACTCAATCATCTCCCAATTGGATTATTTACAAACATTTGGGAGAGTCATACGTTTTCTAGACGTGTTATACTCCAATTACTCTCGTGACAGTTTCACAGACAGCACTACATGATAAAAGATCTTGCTGTAGAATATGTAAAAGCTGTACTAATATAGTATATTCAGTAATAATATTTTCAGTACTCTGTTTTCACTTTAGGTTATTGGTGGTTTTGTGGCTGATATTTTAATTTACCTTATGCCATGAATTGCATGAAGATCAATATTTTTGTCCTGTGGCTTTGTAATTGTCCTCATCAATCTTTCCTTGCAATTCTTTCTTATCTTATCCACATTGTGCTTAATTTTTATTGAACACATTCATTCCCTTTCTTGCCAATGCAGTGGCCTGTGCCACTAAGTTTTCCAACCCCAAATTGTACCACTCCCTGTTTCATCCACGTTGAAGTATCCACCACCCTTCGTCACAAACTCACCCACCATTACTGATCCCAGCATCGACCCTTTCTTCTTCCAAGAAAGTTGGAATCAGCCCAAACTGTCCTGCGTATGACGACGTTGTCCTTGATGAACTTATCCAACATGGACCTGGAATCGGAAGCTAGACGTCCAACATGGAATGTAATATCTTGCCTTTACCTGGAAGAGTTATGGGAACCCTTGCGGGAGCATATAAACCACAAGGGGCTTCTTATCAGAAGAGCTTTGGCGATATAGCTGTCAGAGTTTGGAAGGAAGAGCTAAGGTATAGTTCCGGCAAGGGCGAAGAGGGTTAGATTGGGAGGTGGAGAAAGTATCAGAGAGGCGTGTGGAAGGTCGTTAGAACAATTCAAGGTTGGTTGGAACGATACGTTCGAACTAGAATATATATATATATTTGTCTTAAAACAGTTTCGGATTCGGATCTTGAGATTTTTTTTTATCTCAATCATGACAGATGCAGGCCCCAGAAGAGAAAAGAATTGTTGGGAAATTGAAGTTAATTAATCATTGTTCTGACAATATATACTTGATCAACTGGTTTTTCATAATTCTCTATTCTTAAGGAATATATCAATCTAGATGCCAACTTTAAAATGAAATACATACAAAATGGGAAACAGAGAGAAACAAAAACTGTGGCATCCAATCCTCCACAAGGAATTTCAGGAGTTGAGCGTCACTGCAGGATAGTCTTGGTAGCCTGTGATGCCTGTTATCCTTATCCGCGTATTCGGCTGCAACAGTCGGTCAATCGAAAGATCATAAACATATGAGGTGGAAGAAAACAAGTCTATAAAATTGTCGTTTTAGCATAACTCAAATCACTGTATTTGTGGAACATAAGATGGGATACAGATACTGAAATGACAATGTTACGCTATCAGACATATTTCAGTATCGAGAAAGCAATGATACCTAAGACTATGCACAAATCAGCAGCTGCACAAGCATCTGGTTTGGGAGTCATGGCTCCGAGCCAGGTGCAAGGGGAAAATCAGCAGCTGCTCAAGCATCTGGTTTGGGAAGAGGCTTCAGGGCCAACGCAGAAGACAGTAGAGGGGAGGACAAGAGGGCATTAATTTTGGTTTAGTCATATGAAAGAAGCAAGAGGCCTCAGGATCAGGAGAGAACAGATGATAGGAAGGGAGGGTGAGAAGGCATTGGTTTTGGTTGATTTAAATTACGAAACAAGATGATTGAATTATTTATATTTTAGCAATAAATTCTAATTCATCATGACTAGGTCCCTAATCAACTGTTAAGTCAGAAACTTGTCATACCTGTCGATGTCCAATATTTCTCCGATAGTTTTTCTTCTTCTTGTACTTGAAGACAACTACTTTTGGATTTAATCCCTGCATTTGAATATACATATTTACGGGTCACACAGTAGGCACAGGCTATAGTATTGTAAATAAATAAATAAATACATAACATCAGGAGCTAATTACCTGCTCTTCAACAACAGCATGTACAGCAGCATTAGTCACCACCGGTTTTCCAATATAGGTTGTTGTTTTTGTACCCACAAGCAATACCTTGTTCAAAACAATCTGTGCAACAAAGAGAATTTAAACATTTAAAGACAGCTAACACAGCATGAAAATAAAAGTCAACTAGTGATGAAATTACTGATTCTCTGGAATGTTAAAATACATGAGCATTGAGCATGAAGGTAATGCATAAATTAACACAGCTAAAATAACACCATGTCATATCAACAGCAAGGTTAACACCATCTCAGGCCATTGATAAGGTTAAAAGAAATAACAAATTTCAAAGAAAAACATATCAAGTGAACAAAGCTCCCAGAATTTAGACACACAGCCCCGAAAACCCCCTCCTGACTATAAATGTTCCAGAAATGTAGAAAAAGCTGATGCCCAGTCAGGCCATAATGGGAGTATTGGAATAGTAGAGTGAAAAATGCATAGCCTTTTGGTTCTCAATCAGAATAACAGAAGATTATTACCTGTAATGTTCTAATCGCATCATAGTGGTATGATTCTAACAATAATTTCAAAAAATGGAAGGGTAACAGTCATGGAAAAACAAGAATATTAAATTTTTTTCTCATCTACTTCAAGTAGTACTGTGTTATTAAAAACTGCAGTCAAAAGGATAGTATTAATGACAAAGAGTAGAATGCTACAGTTCAAACCTAGCAACTCTACCCAAAACCCACCCCTCTTGCCACTTGAGCTAAGCCCAGGTGGCATATATTGCAGTTCTACAAGTTAAGCTAGTGCTAGATGGAAAAACCCCCAATTTTTTTTTCACTTCTTTCTTTTCTCATTATGCAGACTGCTGCTATATCAGAAATATATCATTTGGATTATTGTTCTCAAAACAATTAGGTACTGCTTCCATATACATTTATGCTTCTTTCAAACTTAACTAGCAAATAGACCATTATGTTTTATAGAAGCATGTTTACAGATAGCAGCTGCTGCTTAGGAATTCAGAGACATACTACGTGTCCAAGACTTCTTTCAGATTCTTTACACTAGGTTAATGAAGTAAATTTGTATAGTCCCAATCAAAAATTTTCACCAGCAGCCAAGCTTCAGTGCAGCCCAATAAACCCACTCAGAGATGACACTCTTCTTCCACTGGACCCAAATGCCAGTATCAAAGAGTGGATAAAGGAAATGTAGCTGACAAATCATTAACATTCAACATATTTTGAAACTGTAGAAGCAACTGTCATGACTCAACACAAACTTGTTTGAAGTCAAGTAACTCCTCGAGGAAAAATCATTGGTCATTGAGGTAAGTAGATTAAATTACTTTTAAAATAGCCCATCATTACCAAAACAGCATCACCGAAGAAGAATTAATAAGTGCTATCAATAATAAAGATTACCCTTCGTGACTGGTTTGTTACATATTAATACTGCAGAGACAGAGCCCGTTATTACCCCCATTTTTTCAGTCGGGGGATTAACGCAGAGATATAGAATTCTTTCTCTTCCTAAATCCTAATGCCCAAAACTAGCTCTTGGAATAATTCGCTGTAACTTCTCTCACAATTAAACTACATCTCCGAACTTTATATCATGGATTAATGAACCACCAGATGACCATCGATTCTTTGTTTCATAAAACCAACACTCATCTTATTGTCAATTTCTTATATCTATCAGCCAACAAAGTTATCCTATATGTTTGATCAAATAATATTTCCCTAAGCTACCAATGAAATGAAGACTGGGAATAGTGTGGCCAAGTCCCCGATATAGATGAGTGCTTGAAACTGAAAAATTATGCTCCAGAAAATGCTAAAGTAGCCAGCTCTCTTCTATCCAAATGCGTGACCAAGACCTTAATCTTTAGAACATCTGAAGCTGGTCAACAAAACCACCATCCAGCAACCACTTTGGGAAAAAACGCAAGTATAAAAGCCAACACTTTTTTACGCTGAACTAGACAAGATATTTGAAGCCCATATACTGTTCCATTCACTATGTACCAAAGGCCATTTTCCTTTCTTCCCTCTAGTAATCAGCACAGGCAAATTGTAAGTAGAGAATATGACAATGCATGTATGAACACAATGAATTCAACCACTCAAGCAAAAGTGACAACAATACTACTATTACTAACTTGATGACAATCGCAAGCTCATTTCTTTCTCAAAGCAGAAGCTAGACTGTGCAAGATATATTGAACACTTTAATAAAGATAACAACTTCTCAAGTGATTAAGAATTAAAAAGCCAAAAAACCAAAGCACCGACCTTATCATTGACATTGGCACCTTTAAGCCTCTGAGTATAAATATATCGTCCAGGGAAAACAATATACTGGCGAGACCCAATCTAAAACAAAACCATACCAATAAATCAAACACATTGCAGACAAGGAACTTTTGTTATGAATAATCATAATTATATTATTTGGGAAACCACAATACTTAGAAGAAAAAGATGGGGAAAAAACATTAAAATGAAAAACGTCAACCTGTTGAAGAAAACCAAAATACAGTCTGGGTAGTAGCTAAATTCCACTAAAAACACTGATAAAAATTAAAAATGCCCAAAGGGTATCCGAAAAAAATCTTTAGAAATGCATAGAGAGTGACAATTCCATTTAAAAACACATAAAAAAACTGCTGAATTCAAAGTTGTAACTCACCATGACAACAGCAAAAATCTCTTCCCTTTTGGGCTCATCCTTGGCAGCCTCAACAACCTCAGCCGGTTCTGGTGCTGGCTCTGGTTCGGGCTGTATGTTATCAGGTTCGGCTTCAACAACGGCGGCGTCGGATTCAGAGGATTTGGGAATTGTACAAAACGTGGGTGCTTTGGAGAGGAGAGGAGATGGAGTGAACTTGAAAGAAAAAGGGTTAGAGAGAGAGAAAAAGGGAGTTTTGGAAGGAGAGAAAAGAAGAGAATTTTGGTGATGGGGATGATTAGAGATTTTGCAATGAGTGGCGAAAGAAGAACAGAGAGCCAACGTTGCATACGCTGAGGAGGACGCCATTGTCTTTTTTTTTTTTGGCTCACTGCAAAAGAAGTGAGCTTTCTCTTATTATCATCCTCCCCTTGTGTAAAATAGACTTATCCTATCCATTTTCAGTCCCAATGTCCATTATGCCCTTTGAAATAATAATAATAATAATAATAATAATAATAATAAGCATTTTTTGAGTATTATTTATACAATTTACTTTACATTTTCAAAAGTAAAAATAAATGAATAAATAAATTTTATTAATTTATTATATTCACTAATATCTCATGTTATATTATATTCACATGACGTTAACATAAAATATAAAACATATTATGTTAATATGTAAATCATGTAAATGTTATCTTTTATTAATTATGAAAAATATTTCAGTATAAGATATCACTGCTATTTGATATAATATTGAATTTAAATAAAAATTTATTTATTTTTTTAATAATTAAGTAATTTTCTTGGTATTATCCCAATGTAATACTGTACTCATAGCATGTTACTTTTTGGGCAAAAAATGCAGTATAAGTCAAAGGGAAGAATAGGAGAATAGAATTGGTTATAAGGCTACAACATCCATGAAGCTGACAATTAGTGAACTTAAGACTGAAATTTATTATTCTACCAAATACCATAGCAGCTGGTGTCATTTGCAGTAACCATTACAGGATAAACAAAATGTTAATCTTCACATTCCTCCTAGAGTACATCACTTTGAATAAAACCCAATCATCACCCTAAACAACCATTGACATTCCTCCATTTCAGTATCACAAAATGTTGCTAACTACACAGAAGTGATTGAATTTTTTTCAGTTAGTATCAGATGTTGGGTCCTTTACTCCAAAGGCATCAGCTATGGTGAAGTTCAGGTTGCTTCTCATGGTTCTGCTTCTTCCTATCCCATCACCCTTTCTCATCATTGCAGTGAACTCCCCGTAATCTATTCGCCCATCCTGAAATTTGACATAATCACAAGAGAAGTTTAGGCGTAAAAAATTACAATGATTTTTCACCTGTGACAGATTTTAGTACATTTTAACATAACCATCAAAGCAGTTTCAGGCCGATGTTAAATGTTTCATAAATAGCAACCTTTTATGCTGCACTATAACCAATAGCACTTACACACACACACACACACACATAAGAGAAAGATTATATTGTTAAAAAGCTCGAGCTTAAAATAACTCAGCCATAAGCCCTGTGATATCATAACAGGTCACTCTGTATTCTTTGGACAAATGCAAAATCACTTAACCGAAAAGTAAATACTTGGGAAGTTGTATAAAATTTGTGACCAGAACCATAGAAACCACAATCTCCCTAACTGCAAAAACTGAGGCTAAAATATGCAATCCAATTCTTCAGTGTATCAAGTTGCCACTATATAACAGTAATAAGGTTCAGCAAAATACAAAGATCACAATCTTAGAAATGGAAAGCAAACAAGAGATGGAGAAGTAAAGGGGCTACAGCAACCACTAAAGCTGTATTTGGTAGAGAAAAGGGGAGGAAGGAAAAATGGACGGAAAGGAAGGTTACTAATTTTCCTTCCACGATTTTGATACCCTATCCTTCACACCTATAAGGCCATTAGATGTATTCTACTCAATAATTTCTCCAATAAACAAGACTCATACAAGTTCATCTCCATGATAACATTTATATGCTGAAATGAAATGATAATGAAGATCTGTCTTAATGATGATATGTGAAAACTATGACAATAGAACTTTTACAATTACAGACGTGAAAAAGTAACTTCAAAACATACTTACATTATCTTGGTCAATTTCTTTGATCATCTCATCCAGATGAACATCACCAAGACCAAACTCTTTGCAAGCATTTTGAAGTTCGTCTATGGTGATGTAACCACTACCATCTTTGTCAAAAAAGGAGAAAGCAGCAACTAAATTCTCCTCTCTCTCCATCTTATTTATGTGCAGTGTAGCAGCAAGAAATTCACCATAGTCAATTGTTCCACTGTTGTCAATATCAGCCTGCCAAAATTTTCAAGGCAACATTTCTAACTGTCATCAGACTCAATCATGTCGTAACAGTAGAGAATATCATACTTACATTATAAGAAAAACATTGAAGTTACATTAATTTTTCAATAATAACTCAAGAAGGTATATTTACCGCTTCCATTAGAGACTTGATTTCCGATTCCATTAGTTCAGAGCCCACTTTCTTTAAACCAGCCTTGAGTTCCTGAAATGTTATCGTCCCACTGTTGTCTGTGTCAATCATTTTGAACAACTCTTTCAAGCCACCGATTTCTTCCTCAGAGAGTCTTTCTGCTATGACCTGCAAAAGAATTTCTTTTCAATTGTAAAAGATGAATGTGAAACATACATGAATATTAGAACACATAGAATTTGTCAGAGTGACCCAAACAACCAAGACAAAAGATTAAGTCTTGTGACTGCTTTCATTTCATGCCTATGTTGTCAGACAACAACAAAGATGATGACTGGATGTTGCACTCCACTGTGCAGAAGACAAGAGTTAAAGAATCATTGTACAAATATTAAAAGAAGTACCTTGAGCAATCAATTACTTCTCTACAACCATAGCATAATTAACTAACATAAAACAAAAAACAGAATTACAATATTTTTTATTTCTTTCCCATCCCTAGTAATCCCTTCCACTTACACTTCTCATAAATTTAATGGCGAATTTATTTCTTGGGGTGAAAAAATGGCTTGAGGTAGTATTTCATCACAAGCCTCAGATAAAGTTAATATGCATCAACATTAAGAAAATTGTTAAATTTTTCGAAGTTTAAAAAATTTACGGTCCTGACTTCTACTGCAAGCAACTGCAGCTGAGAGGGCTGTCCGGTACCGAGACTATTGTTGAGTGTCATAGCTGACTAACAACATTTAGAACATCATGGACAATGTATCTCTCTCCACCAAAAACCAGATAGATTCCAGACCCAGCCTCCACCCAACAAATTACCTCCTAGCCAACACCAAAGGTTTGTTTTGCTGGGCAAAAGAAAAATGACTGGATGTTGCATTCTAACATGCAGCTGATTAGACTCCAAGAATCATTGTAAAAATAAAAATATTAATGGATGAATTTGTGTATGCAACTTCTTCTATATAACCATGAGTTATAACATAACTAACTACTGGAAAGGGAAACAAATTCTTCTAATGCAGAATTATGGTAGTTTTGCTTCTCTCCTATCTTCAGCCCTCCCTTCATGGTGAATTTACTTGTTGGGGTGAAAGGCCCCTTTTGTTTCTTTTGGTTCTTTTTCTTCCCCTTATTTGATGGGGGTGTTGGTGCTTTGGAGTAGTGTTTTATGAGAAGAACCCCAGCAAAAGTTAATACATACCAAGCTTAAGAGGATTGTTTGATTTTGGAAGGTTAAGATTTTACTACCAGACTTGAGCTGCAACCAATTGCACTAGAAAGAAATGCCCACTACGGGGGGTATCATTTGAGTACGATAGTTTCCTAACAAAATTTAAAATTGTATGGACTATGTAACTGTCTCCATCTAAAACCTGTCAAAGCCCAGACCCCTGCTTCCATCTGACTAAGTACCATTTAGCCAAAACCTGGGATTTTATTCACAGCAAACATTTTGAGTAAGACATGCCAAAGACTTAAGCATGTGACTCCAATGCACACACCCAAAAAACTTAAAAATCAAAAACCAAAAGTAAAAGTTAGATGAAAGGGAAAGCTTGTATATATGTATAACTGTTAAAGTTGATAAATGCTTCATGAGCTATGTATTTAAATAACAATAGTTTGGTGCCATATCAAATATAAATGCCAACCTATTTCTATGCAGAATGCAATAGATCACTGCACTACAACATGTTCACAAACCTGCAAGTTATATCTCCCATGATTCTGGTTCAGAAATGAAGCCAAAAAGAAAAGCTTATCTTGGCAGACCTAGGTAAACTTCCACTCCTAATGTCTACTTGTCATGCCAAAATCCTTACTCCAGACTCAAGTATATTCTAAAAAGACCGTATACATAATTTACAGAGTGAAAGAGCCAATATCACACAATTATGGCAGACTATTATGTTTATTTCTACAAAAACAGAATGACCATTTTCCACCCGAATTTATTCATTTCATAAACATTCAATCAGAAGCTTTTGATCATTTTTTATTCTCTAGGTGCCCAATACAGGCTTCACTCTAATTTCAGATATCCTTCACTATATGAATTCAGCATTAAAAATCCTTCAGCAAGGAGACCAGAAGATAACTAGACAATAAGTTCATAATGAGATTTCCATGGAAAATTATCCTACGACTATAGATCATTTGGAAGATAAGAACCAGGAAAATTCATACACGCAAAGCCATCTTTTTAAGTTTGTTCATTGCCGAGAACTGCTTCAGGCGTGATAACACAGCAGAATCCAGAGGTTTGTCAGGGGCAACTCTATCATCCACAATCCATGGGTGACCTGATGCATAAATCAACACACTTTTTGACTTACATACGAGAAAGATAGGCATTTTCCTTCCCCTCCTATAGCAAAGAAATAATAATTTGGATGGTATAATGTTCAAATGACCTACATAGAACTTCATGGGCAGAAATTCTTTGCCTTGGGTCCCTCTCAAGCATCTTTCGTATCAGATCTTTTGCACTATCAGAGATACTGGGCCACGGCTCAGATGCAAAATCAATTTTTCCATGTAAAATCTGTCTGAAGATTCCTGATTCAGTTTCTGTGAGTACAGAGGAAACATAAGTACACCTTAGGATACGAGAACATAAGAATGACACTAACCGTTGCAGGGAGTAAAATTATTGAGATAGCTACCTGCCCAAAACGGTGGAACCCCACTCAACAAGATGTAAAGGATAACACCAGCGCTCCATATATCTACTTCTGGTCCATAATACTTGCATAAAACCTCAGGCGCAACATAATAGGGGCTCCCAACAACATCAGAAAAATATTGTCCTGAAAGGGAAAGAACAGAAGAAGCAACCCCCATTAAATACAAGAGAAAACACCACAGAAAAAGTAAGGGAAAGCATTGACACATGGGATAGGTTAGAAGTTGCCCATGCTTTGAAGAAGCCTAAGGATTCTTCCAAGCACAATAAAGTTAATAATGATTTTAAAAAGTAGGTAGAATTCATTACTGAGGCACAACCTGATAATCTAGCTAAGCTGATGTTGACATCAATACGGAGTTTTCCAAACAATTGGTGGTCACAGAACCATCCCAATTAATGTTGGGGAAATTTATACATTATATTCAATTGAATTGGATATTTAGTACAGTAATTATGGACAAAAAAAAAAAAAAGAAATCTTTTGCAAAAAAAAAAAGAAGGAATATGTATAACAGAACATTGCTTAAATCAAACAAACCAGAACCAACATTCCACACAATTTTAAAGAATGAAATTAGAAAAATAGACACCAAATATGAAGTACCCTAAGGGGAAATGATTCTAATGATCAGTATCTAAAGAACATTGACTGAATCAATATGTTGACAAAAAAATATCCCAGGAACAAATCCAATATAAAAAACAAAAATTCAAGAGAAAACCCCCAATCATGGAAACAACCCATATAAGATATCAATACCCTTCAACAAGGTATTGAAATTTCAATCATAGAATCAAGAAAGTCCTCAATTTTTAACCAGAGGATCAACCTTAAAAAAAAAATCCGAAACCCCATTTCTTGGTTATTGCAGAACTACATTAACCATTCCAAAAAAAAATGCCATTTTATTAAAAACTAACAAATAAACAAAAAAAAAAACCCAAGAACCAACCTGGCTTATAGAAGATAGACAAGCCAAAATCTGTAGCCTTGAGAATGGCATCATCAGCAGGAGAATCAAACAGAAAATTCTCAGGCTTGAGATCTCTGTGCATAACCCCAAGAGAATGACAAGCCTCCACGACACCAACAATAGTTTTGATAAGCTTGGCAGCCTCTCTTTCACTATAATGACCTTTAGCGACAATCCTATCAAAAAGTTCCCCACCTGCACAAAGCTCCATAACCAAGTGAACAAACACAGAATCTTCATAAGTTCCCTTGATCTGCACCACACTTGGGTGCTCTGACAAATGATGCATGATCTGAATCTCTCTCCAAACATCATCATAATCTTCACGGCATAAAAGTTTGCGCTTTGGGATTGATTTGCAAGCGTAAAGGGTGCCAGTAGCCTTGTGGGTACATTGATATGTGGTGCCAAATTGGCCCTGCCCAAGCTTCTTGCCTAACAAATAGTGGTCCCTTAGCCTCGGGGTTTGGTATGGCAAAACTGTACCTGCCGGCTTTGTTGTCGTTGATGATGATGATGACGAATTGGTTTTCTTATTCATTGCAGAAAATATCTCAGATGGAATCTCTTTCTCTTTCACTTTCTTTCTCCCCTCTTGTTTGTTGTTGTTTTCTTCTTCTTTCTTTCTTCTGTTTCTCCCTTTTTTTGGGTCTTCCTTGTTGTAAACTTGTAAATGGATTGGCGACCTTTGTATCTTCCTTTACCAATGAAATGGAAAGCAGAAGACAGCTCAAAACTTTATATTTTGGGAAGTTTTCAGCTTTTTATATAGTTAGAAGTGTAGAATTGTTGATGGTGGAGATGGGATTATTATCTTAAACTTAGTACTAAAAATTTGATTGGAAAGAAAGAAACAATAAAGTATCCAATATGGTATTAATAATTAGGAGCAGTTTTCAATCTTGGACCATTGGAGAATGTGAGTGTGATCTCATTGTTGGATATATATTAAACACTATTCATCATCTCATCCACATCAGCACTTTAGAGTCCATGGCATAGGGTCATAATTTTTGTAATTAATTGCTGACATAATTTTCAAAAAAAATTTAAATTAATTAAATTTTATTATATTTAATTAAATTTTATATTTTATTTTAAATTAAAATATTATTTATCATTTTATATTCATATGACATTAATATAAAAATTAAAAAATTTACGTAATTATATTATTATATTATATTATTATTAATTATGATATATTAAAATATCATGTCATCATTAAATATTACATGTTAATATGTTATGTTAATATTATATAATGTATAATAATAAATAATATTTTAATTAAATTAATTATTAATAATAAAATTTTATTTAATTTAAATTAAAAATGTATAAGAATATATGTGAATAATCGTGTGCATGCACCAAATTAAATCGTGAGGGTCACCCACCCTGGTCTGAGTCCTTGAAAGTAAAAATTAAGGGCGCACGTCCTACACGTTGAGGGCGATAAGGGACAGAGCAAAGTCCAAGGGCACCTGCTCCTCATCTGCTCGGGCAATTTCAACTTTTATAAAACGTCGGTCTGCCCTTGTTTTTTTTTTTAAATATTTCAAAATTATATATTTTTTTTACACCTAATAAATATTCTTTCATTATTTTCCACAGATTTTTTTTATTTTTTTAGTCATTTTTATAAAAAAATAAAATTTCCATATGAATTATATATTATAATCAAAGTTTTATTTCTTAATTTATGAAAATAAAAAAGAAATAAAGAATACAAGACAAAAGGAGTATATAATTTCATTTTTTATAAATAAATCATTGTTAAAATTAACTTGCAAACACTCATAACAAAAAGACCTCAACAAAATTGTTTGGCTCAATGGAGTAAGCCATTCCATTCCGTCCGCATCTATATTTCGGATAAGGGAATGGTTATTATGATCAAAAGAGTTTATTTCGAGTTTGATCGAAATGAAATAACTATTCTCCTCCTCTTATGTTTGGTCGGAGGAATGCTATAACCATTCTCCCCTATTCCTTATCTCCTTTTAAAATTGTGTTTGGTTCACGGAAGAGAACGGAATAGTCATTACGAACCTTCTTTTGGTAATGACTATTCCGATTATGTTGAAATAGGTTAGAACAGTTATTGGATAAAACTGTTCTTAATCAACTTCTTTCTATCTCTACTCAGCTGCCTCTATCCTTCTCTTTCTAAATTTCTTCCACACCCAGTGCCTCCATGGCCGACTTGGGCTGTGAGAGGAAGGGTTTGGGCTTCACCAAAATAAACCTAGTTTGATCTAGTATCTGAGTGTTGAGTTGGGGTGAGCCTTTGGGTTGAAATATCTAGGTTAGAGGTTCAACTTGGGCTTGTGTAGGGTTGAATTGGGTCTTCTAGGCTCCTTGGACACCGTCTAACCACCACCTTCAGAATATTGAAGAATACTACTAAAGAGGAGAGGAGATGAGAGGATTTCAGAAATGAGGAGGCATTTATAGCTTAAGAGGTTGTAATGAACCATCTGAGATTAAAGGTGCTGAACAACTCAAATCTAAAGAAAAATTCGAGATACTTATCTCAAAAATTAGCTAGCCGATTGACGCAAAAGAGTGTAGATAGGCCCTTAATATATAGAGTAAGGATGCATTTATGATTAATACATATAAATATATATATATATATCAAAAGAATAAATAAAAATAAAATAAAACCAAGGAGACCAATGTTGGATAGATTGAAATATAAAACCAATCATACTGCAGATTGAATTATTATTAGAGTAAAGCACACACCAATAACACTTAGTGCAGGGAACAGGTCATACTGCTTTATACAAAGAGACCATAGTTTAGTAGATTTGTTGATTACTAGGGTAAAAGAGAGTTTCTTGTGCCCTAGTGCAGCTGCCCTGGTGTAGAATGCAGCTGGAGAGTCCTGCTCGGGACAACCTGAAGAACGCCGGGTTGCTCTGCCACAAACAATAGTAAGGTAATCAACTTATGTGTGTATCATCCAAAAAGTTCAAATTATTGAGGATTGTATGAAATGTTGTAATAAGGCAATATGTAACAAGGACCTTTATGTTCACAAAGAGAAAAAGGTATGTGCAACAAAATAACTAGAAAAGACCTAACCTTTCCATGGTTTAATCTTCACAACAAAACCATTTGACAACTAAAACCTAGAGATCATTCCAAAACACAATAACTCGATGTTCCTCACTTTTCTTTCTAGTTTATATTCATCTTCTATTGCCAATTATCAAGCATTCCCTTTGAACTTAACACCTGAATATTGTTAGTATAATGCATAACTAGCACATTGCTTTCTCATTTCTTCACACATACAGCCATTTGCACAATCTACATCTTTTAACAATGCAGCTGTCTTGCCTTAAGGCACAAAAGGTTGGAAAGCCCGAAACGTAAATAATAAAACAAGCAAGCTATCCCACCACAATCTGCTCAAACCAGCCTTAAAACACCAAATGCTACGATCCTTAGAAAACAAAACATTTTGAAATTAGCAATTCACAATAGATTGATGATCCTGTCAAAACATATTGCGAGAATAGCCCGCAAAGAGAGAATAACTGAATGGTTAATTGTTAAAACAAGTGAGCAAGTAAAGACAAATGCTTTATAAGTTGAACTTTGTAACAAATGAGAAATGGGGTCCCTTTCCTCATCTCATCTTTAAAGAATCCAAAACAGCAGTTGTTCCTTTGGTTATACATTGAATTCCACACCGGTGCAAGGATGCTCTTTCAATATAAACTACAACTTTCTTCTGACAACTGTTGTCAATAAAATCATACTCATTTTGAGTTATGATGAACTACAGATAAAGAAACAAATAACACCACTCGGGATTAAGCTTTAAAATCCCAAGCTAACCATTGGGATGTTCTTGGGAAAGTATTCTTCCCCTCGAGAGAAATTTGAACTCATAAGTATGAATCAGATAAGGGTTTCTTCTAATAAACAAGAGAAACTGAACCCCACTTACGTACCCTACTTCCGTAATTGAAACAAGAGAAAGACAACAGCACTTACTCGAGATTTCTGCGACCTGTTCGGGAGTAAGCTTGGCGGAGAAACCGCTGGCAGCCGTCTTGTAACTGTAAATAAGCGCCTCCTTAGCGGCCCCCTCGCTGCCGAGGACGGAGGCGAGGGTTCGGATGTGGTAGGCTTCAGGCTGCTCATCCTGAGGCTTCTCGGTGTAAACGATGTGGACGGCCGCCGCCGACGGTGAAGACGAAAGCGACGACGACTTTGATGAATCTACAGATTCAGCCATTTCGATCAAACAACTCAGATTGACAATCAAACACAGAATCAGAAGCGATTTAATGTAAAAACAGGCAACGGGTGTCTGCATATTTGGGCAGTGCCTCTTCCTTTTTATACCCCTTTTGGTATTGAGGAAGAAGGTCTCTGGAATGGAAGAATTTGCCTTTCTGATTTTTTGTTTACTCAAAACTTAGCCATTAAGTTATTAAAATATTTGTATTTATCTGATTAAATGATTACGTGTTGCATTCGTGTATCGTTGCCCCCAAAGCCCTATTCTTGTCTTTTCCCTATTATCCATTCTTTCACCATCTTGCCCCCAAAATCCAGCAAGTGCGGACATAAAAAATAATTAATTAAAATAATACAAATATCGTTAATAAAAAATAAATAAAATATTTTTATTAATTTTAAAATTATTATATTTTAAAAAAACTTAAAAAGTACTTATTAGTATTCCCCAGCTTCTCAACGGAGGGGTGCTCTTTCTATTTTTTTTTAATAAATTATATAACAATAAATTTTAATTTTAATATTATCACATTATCAAATTAACAGAAATACTAATAGTTGATTAAGAGTTGAACCTATGTGTTTAGCAGAATTTTTTTCAAATAGAGTATTTATTTTAAAAATTAATAAATTTGTTTAAAATTTTAATTAAAACTTAAAAAATAAGATATTTTACTTTAAATAATTTGTAAAAAAATACATAACATTCAAATAAGTTCCTACACTATTAAAAGAATTTAAATAAGCGCTTTTTTTCTTTATTACGTTCAATCAAATTGTTGTATTTTTATTTTAAATTAAATAAGTTTTTATAATCAATAATTAATTAATTATTATTAATCAAAATATTATTTATCATTTTATATTTACGATATTACGTTGATGTGGACGATAAAAAATGTTATATAGTCAAATTAAGATATTATGTTATCATCAATTATAGTATATCAACACGTCATATTATAATTATTTATAATTTATTAATATACTACATCAACACCACACAATATGAAATGATAAATGATAATTTGATTAAGTCAATAATTAATTATAAAGATTTACTAAACTCAAAATAAAAATCTAAAGATTTAACTTAATATAACAAAAGTATAAAAGTTTATTTAAATTCTTCTAAATAATTTATGACATTTTTAAAATATTATACAAAAGAAGAAAGGTATGAATATACTAACCCTTTAAAATCTCTACATATCCGATATACCTGTTTCCACGAAAGGTATATATACATATATATATATATATATATATATTCTTATATATTAACTTCATCTTTTCTATTTATGTAAATTAAGTCTATAAATAAAGATATTGTAGTTGATCGTATATACACTTGAATAAAAAACGAAATAGAAGATCTTACTTTGTTAATACTTTTCTTTTATAATTGGTTTTTTAAGTTATATTTTACGATAAATACATAATATTTAAAAAAAATTAAATAAATTATTTTTTTTGTTACGTCCAATCAAACTCTCTTATTTTTATTTTAGATCAAATAAATTTTTATAATTAATAATTAATTAATTATCATTAATCAAAATATCGCTGATCATTTTATATTCACATGTGTTAATATGGCAAGTAAAAAATATCACATGATTATATTTTATATTTTCATACCACATTAAAATGTAATATCTGCATCGATTATGATGTATCAACATGATACATCATCATAAATTATGAAATGTTAGTATAGAATGCCAACATCATATGACATAAAATGACAAATATCATTTTAACTAAATTAATCATTAGTATAAAAAGTTATTTAACTCAAAATAATAATATAAAAGTTTAATTGAACGCAATGAAAGAATAAGAATTTATTAAATTTTCTTGAATAGTTTATAAACTTTCTTTTAGATATTATGTAAAAACAAGAAAGTTATTTTAGTTTGATTTGATAGGATTTAAATGTTTTTTTTCTAATCATTTAGATTTGATATTGGTCAAAAGACTTATCTAGTCTCTGTACTTTTCAATTTTGTTCAATTTTGTCTATATACTCAAAATCGAAACAATTTATTTTTTTAATTTTGAGAATTACGTCAATTTAATCCCTCAGGGGCATCCAATTTACCATTATAAGATGACATCATCGTTAGCATCAACAATGACGTCAACTCAGAGGTGTCACTTTTTAATAACATGTTGTTGAGATGATTATGTGACATGCTATGTGGCATTAAGTGATGATGTGGCAATGCCACATGGCACTATATGATGGTATGACAATGCTGATATGATACTAACATATTGACATGTCAATGCCACATGGTAAATCAAAAAAATTTTGAAAAAGAAATTCTGTCATATCATAGGGATTAAAGTGAACAAAAATATATAGTATAAGAACTAAATTGAACAAAATTGAAATATTGAGGGATTAAATTGAAAAAAATATTTCAAAATATAAATCTTTAAGTAAATTATTGATATGCTTATTAATAAATTAAATATTTAAATGTAAAAGATTTACGATGTTAAAAAATATATATAAATTTTTTTACTTGATTATTTGATTTTAAAATTTATAAATTAATTTATCTTTTTTTACAAAAATTAAGTTTGAATTCTCTTTTTATAAAAAAATTTTTCAAAAATTTCCTATCTAAAGTCAAATTTAGATGAATAACTTGTATTACGTTAAAATAAAATAACATAAAATAAGTAAATAAATTCTTTATTCTTCTATTTATAATAGTATAAAAATTTGAAATTCATTTAAGTTTGTTTTTAACTTGAGTTAAAGTCAAATAAACAAAATATGTTGATTTAGTTTTTTCATTTAAAAAAATAAAGAACGGAGATATGGAGTTAATAATGATTATAAAAGTAATTTTTTATTTTTACTTATTTAATTTAGACATGACAAATTTCTTATTTTAACCATAAAATCTAAGCTCCACTATTCTGATTATTTATTTATTTTTTATGCCGTTATTTTGTTTAAGATTTCCAGTTATATTTTTTAAGTTGAAATTTCTTAAATTAAAAACTGTATTTATAATTGATAAAATTAAATATAACTGTAAATATTTGTACCATTTTATTTTATTAACAAATTTTTTTATATCCAAATTAATAATTTAAATTTAAATTTAACATAGTTTAATTGTGATATTGAATTTAAATAAAATTATTTTATAAAAAATTTTGAGTAAATTTAAATAAAAAGTAAATTGGGTAAGAGTTGAATAATTTTAAAAGAATGTTTATTTGTAAATTGTGAAAATTGTAACAAAATTAACATATTTTGCTAATTTGAGTAAATTTAAATAAAAAGTAAATTGAGTAAGAATTGAATAATTTCAAAAAAATATGTATTTGTAAATTGTGAAAGTTGTAACTAAATCAACATATTTAACCATTTTATATTATTTTATTTTAATGTAATGCAAGTTATTTATCTAAATTTGAAATTAAGTATGAAATTTTTTTCAATTTTCTTTTAAAAAGAAACTTTAAACTTAATTTTTATAAAAAAGATAAATTAATTTACAAATTCTAGAATGAAATAATCAAGAAAATATTTATATATATTTTTTAACATCATAAATTTTTTACATTTAAATATTTAACTTCTTAATAAGTATATCTATAATATACTTAAATATTTATCTTTTTAATTTTTTTTTTAATTTAGTTCCTTCACATCTCAATTTTATTCAATTTAACCCCTATACTATATATTTTTGTTCACTTTAATTCTTATGACGTAATAAATATTTTTTTTGTTAGAAAATTTTTTTATTTGCTACGTGACATTAACATGTTAGCATGTCAGTGCTACATCAATATAACCACGTCATCGTATAGTGTCATGTAGCATTCCGTGCCATCATCTTCATGCCACATCATAAAAAAGTGACACATCAATAATGACGTCATTGTCGATATTATCAATGATGTCATCTTTTAACAATAAGATTGAATCCCGCTAAGAAGAAATACTAAATTGACATCATTCTTAAAATAAAAAAACTAAATTACTTTGATTTTAAATATAAAAATTAAATTAAACAAAATTAAAAAATACAGATATTAAATAAATCTTTTGACCATTAGATATTTGAAGTTACTCGAGTTCACGTAATTTTGAATTCATATTATTAATTTTTTAAAAATCAAATCAAATTGATTTGAATTACTTTTCAGGATTAGACAAGTATTTTGAATTTCACTTAGCTCTATCAACTCTACTTTCCACATTATTAATATAAACTTAAAAAGTAAATTAATAAATAAAAAATTATAGTTTGAGATTATATTTTTAAGAGGGATTAACAACAACAACAACAATAACAACAACAACAACAATAATAATAATAATAATAATAATAATAATAATAAGCATAAAACTTTCGATATAGTAAATATTTTAACAAATCAAGTATTAAATATTAATGTATTATTCATAATAACCATCATACACGTAAAATTAAAAATCAATTTAAAATTTTTAGCACGTCGATCAAGAACATTATCTTTTTCAATATAATAATTTTTAACGTTTGAATTATGAAAAGAAATTATAATAATTATCCTTGTGATGTTACATTCACAAATGAAAACAAAGCATAATGTAAAGGTCTAGAAACTATACCTTAAAACTATATGAAACATCCATGGGCTGCACCATTAGAGATTTATGATGATGACCACAAGGTGTACATTGCATGCAACTGACCTAAGTGGTTCGACTTCAAAGCCATTTTGTAGAGCTCCCTCAGCTTTCCACCATCTCCAGACTTTTTACCTGTCTCAGAAGAAGTTTTGTTCGAATTCACAGACAGATTCACAGCCAGCATTTTTTTCAAAACCGCCTGCAACTGACTCCAAAATCTTGCATGTAATTCAGGGTAGTCTGTTGTAAACAAATTCGAGAAAGCTTCCGATACATGGCATCCTTCAAGTAGGTGGGACAGAGCAGATTCCAGCATCTACAAAAGGAAAGGAATTTATCAGCATGCTTTCGCATAAAATTGTATAAAAATAATGAAAAGAAAACATAAGAAAGAAGTCGGTGAGCTAGCGAGAATGATTTATCTGTTGGCAACATAACCGGCATGACAGGTATTGCCGATTCATACCAAAACATTTGTGGAATGAATAGATCAACCCAAGTTTCATAGAATGGAAAACAAAATTTTGCAGAT